ACCGAAGGATATTTTCCCATTGATTTTAGAGAGTATGGAAGAGAGAGGGAAAGACAGAGAGAAATATCAATGATGAGAGAAACACATCGATTGATTGCCTCCTGCATGCACCCCGACCAGGGCCCATGCCAAAGAGAAGCCTACAACCATGGTACATGGCCTTGACCAGAATCAAACCAGGGACCCTTCAGTCCGCAAGCCAACGCTCTATCCACTGAGCCAAACCAGCTAGGGCTCATTTCATTCTTATGTCAACCCTGAGGGGTGGGCATTCTTATTTGTCAAGGGTCACACGAGGGGAAGGCTTGCTGGCAGAGGGCACAGCAAGTGCAAAGGAGACAGTGGGTATGAAGTTGTTTGAGATGTGAGATTGTTTAAGGTTATTTTATGATTTGAAATCATAAAAATCCTAGGAGAAAACAGGCAGTAAAATCTCAGACCTTTCTCATAGGAATATTTTTTTTTGATATATGTCCTCGGGCAAGGGAAACAAAAGAAAAAATAAACAACCTGGCTGGTGTGGCCCAGTTGGTTGAGCGTCATCCCACACACCAAGAGGTCCCAGGTTCTTCCCGGTCAGAGCACACGCTCAGGTTGCAGGCTTGATCCCTGGTGGGGGGCATGTAGGAGGCGGCTGATCAAGGATTCTCTCTCATCACTGATGTTTTTCTCCCTCTCTCCCTCTTCCTCTCTGAAATCAATAAAAATATGTATTTTTTAAAAGTTTAGCCGACGGCTTGCGGACTGAAAGGTCCCAGGTTCGTTCTAAAAAGTAAGTATGTATGAAAAGTTTAATTTCACAGAGAAGTTTTCTATATATAGTGCTATAATTTTAAATTTACACTGAGTAAGTCTAGTAAATGCATGCATTCACCAGTCACTGGGAGTAAACAAATGTACAAGGCTGGGGCGTGCCTTAGCATGTGGGAACATTGCTGGTGCGAGTTAAAACCGCTGCAGAAACTCATGCCAGGGACCACAGAACCAATTACTTCGCACAATGCGGTGTGATCACGTGTTAATCACTGAACATTGTTTATGAGTGGTAACTCTTGGACTTAAATATATATGTAAACTATAGTTACAGATATGTAATATTTATTTATGTCTGTGAAATTACTATTTTCTCCCAACATATGGCCTATTCACTAAAATTTGTTAAAAATAGTGCTTGAGCCTGGCCAGTATCGCTCAGTGGTTGAGCGTTGACTTATGAACTAGGAAGTCACATAGTTTGATTCCCGGCCAGGGCTCGATCCCCAGTAGTGGGTGTGCAGGAGGCAGCTGATCAATGATTCTTCTCTCTCATTGATGTTTCTATCATTCTCTCCCTCTCTGAAATCAATAAAAATATATTTTAAAAAACTGATAAAAATATCTTTTAAAAAAATAGTGTGTGAGCCCTGGCCAGTGTGGCTCAGTTGGTCCTGTGCATCAGTAGGTCACTGGTTCAATTCCCAGTCAGGGCATATGCCCCAGCTGTGGGTTTGGCCCCCAGTTGGGGTGTGTACAGGAGGCAACTGATCATGTTTTTCTCTCACATTGATGTCTCTCTCTCTTTCTCTCTCTAAAAATAAATTATATCACACACAAACAAATAACAGTGGGCACTCTCCTTGCAGGGAGCACACCTGTGCCATTCTCTCTCCCCTCTCCTTCCCCCACAGGCACGTATCTTCTAAACTCCGAGGGACCCCACGAGACTTGCAACCAGGGGAGCAATGGGCAGTGGCAGCTTCCCCCTACTCCCTCCAAACCTATCTCTAAGGCCCCCTTTTCTCTGACTTCCCAGAGAGCCAAAGCAGCCCAGCCTAGGCTCTCCTGTTGCTTCTTCTGTGCCCTTCCTTGTCATAAGTGTGCTTTTGCTGTGGTCAATAAATTCTTGCTTTTCTAAAAAGAAAAAAAAGGTGGGGTATAAATAAATGGTGACGGAGACTTGACTAGGGTGGTGAGGAAACAGTACAGATGCTGTGTTGTAGAATTGTGCACCTGAAACCTGTAGAATTTTGTTAACCAATGTCACCCCAATAAGTTCAATAAGTAAGAAAAAAGAAAAGAATGTGAGGGGATGTCCTGATCCTTGGGCAGTAGACACCGGGAGGCAGGAGGATGGCCTGGGTACATGGCTGTGTGTTTGTGTCCTAGGAGGCTAATGGCCCCGCTGACGGCTATGCTGCCATTGCCCAGGCCGACCGGCTGACACAGGAGCCCGAGAGCATCCGCAAATGGAGAGAGGAGCAGAGGAAACGGCTGCAAGAGCTGGGTGAGGGCAGGGCTGCGGCTGGGCTGCTCTGGGACACGGTGGGGGTGGGGGACTGTAAGGTATATGCACCCCCTCTAATGTGGGAACTGTGAGAATGGGCACTGGGGACGAGGGGAGAAGCAGCTGGGCGGTTGTGTCCCGCACGTCCCTACTGGAAAGCTGCCGCTCATTCTCCTGTGGGGTTGCAGATGCTGCCTCCAAGGTGACCGAACAGGAGTGGCGGGAGAAGGCCAAGAAGGACCTGGAGGAGTGGAACCAGCGCCAGAGTGAACAAGTGGAAAAGAACAAGATCAGCAACCGGTAACAGATGCTTTAGGGACAGGAGGGAGCTATGGGGACAGGAGAGGAGCTGTAGGGACAGGAGGGAGCTGTAGGGACATGGGGGAGCTATGGGCACAGGAGGGAGCTATGGGGACAGGAGAGGAGCTGTAGGGACAGGAGGGAGCTGTAGGGACATGGGGGAGCTATGGGCACAGGAGGGAGCTATGGGGACAGGAGAGGAGCTGTAGGGACAGGAGGGAGCTGTAGGGACATGGGGGAGCTATGGGCACAGGAGGGAGCTATGGGGACAGGAGAGGAGCTGTAGGGACAGGAGGGAGCTGTAGGGACATGGGGGAGCTATGGGCACAGGAGGGAGCTATGGGGACAGGAGAGGAGCTGTAGGGACAGGAGGGAGCTGTAGGGACATGGGGGAGCTATGGGCACAGGAGGGAGCTATGGGGACAGGAGAGGAGCTGTAGGGACAGGAGGGAGCTGTAGGGACATGGGGGAGCTATGGGCACAGGAGGGAGCTATGGGGACAGGAGAGGAGCTGTAGGGACAGGAGGGAGCTGTAGGGACATGGGGGAGCTATGGGCACAGGAGGGAGCTATGGGGACAGGAGAGGAGCTGTAGGGACAGGAGGGAGCTGTAGGGACATGGGGGAGCTATGGGCACAGGAGGGAGCTATGGGGACAGGAGAGGAGCTGTAGGGACAGGAGGGAGCTGTAGGGACATGGGGGAGCTATGGGCACAGGAGGGAGCTATGGGGACAGGAGAGGAGCTGTAGGGACAGGAGGGAGCTGTAGGGACATGGGGGAGCTATGGGCACAGGAGGGAGCTATGGGGACAGGAGAGGAGCTGTAGGGACAGGAGGGAGCTGTAGGGACATGGGGGAGCTATGGGCACAGGAGGGAGCTATGGGGACAGGAGAGGAGCTGTAGGGACAGGAGGGAGCTGTAGGGACATGGGGGAGCTATGGGCACAGGAGGGAGCTATGGGGACAGGAGAGGAGCTATAGGGACAGGAGGGAGCTGTAGGGACATGGGGGAGCTATGGGGACATGGGGGAGCTATGGGGACATGAGGGAGCTATAGGGACATGATGGGGATAGAGGGACAGGAGGGGGTTATGGGAACAGGAGGGAACTATAGGGACATGAGGGCACTATGGGGACAGGAGGGGCTATGGTATTGGAGGCCCATCTTGAGAATGGGTGATTTGGTGGCAAGAACATGGAGGAAGGAGAAGCTGAATGCCCAGGACTACTTCCTTGGTTGCCTGTGGAGTTCAGAGCCCTGAACATGGAAGGGCTGATACACTGTTACGCTCTTACCACCTCACCACAACAGTGAGAAGCAAGTTCTGCAGTCAGCAGTTGAGGCCCCAGGTCCCTGGGATGTGAGCCAGACTGTGCTGGGCCCCACAGCTAGGCCTGGGCCCCCTGTGCCACGGCTAGTGTCACGGAAAGCACAGTCCTGGCTGGGAGTGAAGAGCCAGCCTGGGTACGGGATCTCGTTGCCTGTAGCGCTTTGACCCAGAGTGGCTTCAGCACTAAAGGAAATGAGTGGCCCGTAGAACTGAAAAGCCAGGGGTAGGACGGCAGGCACAGCAGGCTCAAGGGCGGAAACAAAGTCAGTTGGAACCCACTTTTACTGTCTCTAAGCTCTTCTTTCCTCTACGGAGCCTTCCCTCTGGGACCCCTGCCCCCTGGGATGGGGGCGAAGGTGGCCACCAGCAGCTCCAGGCTTCTGCTCTATCTACTTGGCAACTTCAATGAAAATAATCTCTTGCTCCCAATAGCTCCAGCATAAGTCCTTGACCTGACCCTCATTGGTGGGGCATGGGTCAGGCCCAGTGACTGGCCCAGAGGCAGGGACTCCCTGATGGACCCAGCTTAGTAATATTCCATTCCTGGGGTTGGGCATGGGGTCAGTCCTACCCAAACCACAGGGACTGACCTGGGGGCAACTTGATCCTGCAAAGGACAATCAGGGTGCCTTTCCTGGAAGAAAGAGAATGAATGCTGAGCAGGCAAGGACAGCAGATGCCACAGAGAACACCTTTGTGGAAATGGTCTCAGAGCATTTCAGGGATGCTGCCCAGCAGTCCAGCCTTTGAGGCTCGTCCCTTAAAATCACTAGGCCTGCCAGGAAGGGCAAGGCCAATTCTGGGAAGCCACCACACTTGTGTTCAGGAAGCTGCTGCATGCCAGGCTCTGGGCTGGGTACCGGAAGACAGATGAGAAGGACCCAGCCTGTATCCTCTGAGTTCAGAGGAGAGAAACACATGTCCAGCTGAACTCAGCAGTAGGGCCTCTGCAGGAGGAAACAAGGGATGCTGTGGGGGAGGAGCCTTCGTATCTGGGGAACTGGGCTTTGGAGGATGAGTAGGAGTTCATCAGGAAAAAGAGGGCAAGGGTCGGGGAGGGAAATCTAGACCAGGGGACAGAATGATAAGAAAGAAAGGACCTTGTGTCTGGGGCAGCAGGGAGGCTGGGAGCCGTGGGCAGGCATGGGTGGTGAGCAGGAGGAGTAATATGATCAGAGCTGAGTTTTAGAAAAGGCACTCAGGGGGCGGGTGGAGGATTCCTGCTCTCCTCTCTGGGCTGTGGATAGTTGAGCCTCCCAGAGCTGTGCTTCCTAACACCTCTCGACCTGGAGGTACTAACACTGTCTCTCTTTCTCTTTAACTCTCTGCCTGTCTGTCTGTCTTGCCATCTCGTCTTCCCCCACCTAACCCCTTTCCCTTAAGGATCGCTGACAAAGCATTCTACCAGCAGCCAGATGCTGATATCATCGGCTACGTGTACGTGTGTCTCCTCTGCTCCTCTGTCTGGGGGAGCTGGAGAGGGCGAGGCCCCTATGTGTGGCTGGCACAGTTTCTTGAGTCTCCTGCCTGTGGGGTACAAGAGTGCGGCTGGGCGAGGGCAGGGAGAAGGCTATGACCAGAGCAGGGGTGACCCCCAGTCAGCGCAGCACCTCCGCCACTCCAGCAAATGCTTATGGAGGTCTTTTCTGCGTGGAGGTGACTCTGCTAAAACAGGCAGAGGAAAGAAAAGAATGACTGGCCATGCCCGGGTGGGAGGGGCGAGTGGCAAAGCTGCCCAACTCCTTCCCAAAGAGATGCCTCTGGGGGTGGGAGGTAGGGTGCAGAGGTCTTCTGTTGAACGAAGCAAACATTGAGTGCGTTTCTGGAGGCACAAAAAGAGAGCTAGGAGCACACCTATCCCCTTCTGCTACCCCCAAGTGCACTGCTCCTCCTTAGAGCTTCTACCCAAGTTGGCACTGTGACTAATCTAGACCAGAGATGGTAGAGGTTCCCTCTCACGTCACCTCAGTTGGTTGACAGCGACACCTAGAGTTGTGTTGGGGATTGTAAAGCTGAAGGGAAAAATACAGTGATGAGTGTGTGAGGTCAGCCGATATTGGCTGCTCGGCGTGCCGGCCACACCCTTGGCAGGCTTGCGGCTAACTCTTCTCTCACAGTGCCCAGGACACCCCAGGGTGACAGCCTTTCGCTCCTACCTTCATCCACTCTCCCGGCTGTCCAGTCCTCATGGGTACTTACCCAGTGCCAGTCTCTGGTCAGACCGGAGTGTGTGGTAATAAGAGCTGTGTGGAAGGACACACAACACTCTGGAAGCCACCTTCTGCTGTGGGAGCCGGGGCAGACTTCAGCGAAGCAGAACCTTCAATTGGACCATAAAGTGGGAGGAGGAATGAATGGATGGGGAGGGGAAGATGAGGGGAAGGACCTCTTAGGTGGAAGAAGTTGCTTGGGCAAAGGTGATGAGATAGGACATACCTAGTGGCCTGGTGGCTGTAGATGGTGGAGGTGGGGGCGTGTGGAGAAGGTCAGCTCGCGGCCATCTGCAGAAATGTCTGTTGTGCCAGGCCAAGAAGCTTGGACTTGATCCTGAAGGCAGCAGGGGGCCATAGGAGAGTTCCAGCAGAGAGTGGGGATGGCAGCGGGACATGGGTGCTGGGGGTAGTTAGTGCTCCTGTTTCACCCCAGAAAATGGCCCAAGGATCATACAAAGGAGTCCCGAAGAGGGAAAGTGCAGACCAGTGTTTCCCAGACTTCCATGTGCCTGTGAGACACCAGAGGGTCTTGTTAAAATGAGGATTCTAATTCAGTAGGACTGAGGCCATGATTCTTCATAACCCACAAGCTCCTTGCTGGTGCCCGTCAGCAAGACCACCCACCACACTGAGCTGCAAGTTTAGCGGGGGCCTCTTGACCCAAAGGACCGCTGCTAGGAAAGCTTCCCTCAGCCCCCTGGATATCCAGCTCTGCACAGCAGTCAACCTCTTCCCAAGCTCGCACACACCTGCCATCTCCTAGATCCTCAGCCACTCGGATCACTAGGTGGAGGCTCTGACCCTCACTTTACAGGTTCGGTAACGAGCACACAGCACCCGCAGTAGGGAGGGCCCGATCACCTTGGCACGGCTGCGTGGACCAACTGGAGAGCTCCCCACCATCTGCCAGTGCCTGGTCACGCATGGTTGGGCTCGATAGCCAAACAGGACAAAGACCCAGCCCTTTTACCTAAGAATCCTTTAATGTCTTTCTCTTAGTAATGCCCACATTTAGGTTTTGTCCACTGAACAGTACTGACTACAGTTTGCCTCTCCATTGTTCCTTCATCAGTGGCTTTCATACCGGTCAGCTAGAACTGAAGAAGCCACCCGTTGCCACCCTAACTGGACTCTAACCAAAAGCTAAGACTTAAATGAATGGAGCAGTCCTCATGCCCTGGCTCCATCGATATTCCGGGCTAAAAAGAGATCTGCCATCAAACATGCTGGGGAGACGGTGGATTCTATCGCCATCACTTTCCCACGGATGCACGTTAGCACATGCAAGGCTTTGAACCCCTTTCACTGAGTTTTCTATGAGTGGTTGACCACAACTCTTATGGAGAACACACAGGGTCCACAGAACATTGAGGCAATGCTGAACCAGGCACTCCAATTAGTTATGTAGTTAATCAATGTCCTGTCTCTGCCAAGTTATTGGAAACATTGACAATGGCTGAGGTACCACATTAGTTCCTCCACGGCCATTCGGTGCCGGGAACCCCAGTGGGGAACTCTTGATGGAGAGGCAATGACCGGAGAGCGCGAGGGTGGGGCAGGCGGGAGGAGGTCCAGGAGGAAACTTTAGCTAGGGTGGCAGGGGCAGACCTCTCTGAGGAGGCGAGGCCTGCACTCAGCCCCAAACTAGGTTTTCTCTGATGCCAAGGCTGTTCCTGGGGCTCAGGGTCAGAGGGCGCAGGGCCGGGGAGGAGACCTCTGGGTAAAGCAGCCCAGAGCAGGCTGGGCAAAGCAGCCCTGCTCATTGCGGGGAAAGCATCACTGGTTGGGGGGGAGGGGGAAAGGCAGGCAGCTCTGAGACCTCTGTCCTATCTCCTCCCGCAGGGCATCTGAGGAGGCTTTCGTGAAGGAATCCAAGGAGGAAACCGCAGGCACAGAGTGGGAGAAAGTGGCCCAGCTGTGTGACTTCAACCCCAAGAGCAGCAAACAGTGCAAAGACGTGTCCCGCCTGCGTTCTGTGCTCATGTCCCTGAAGCAGACACCGCTGTCCCGCTAGGTGCCGGCCACAGGCATGGCCACGGAGCACGGGCAGGGGCAGGAGAGGAGCTGCTTCGGGCAGGAGGGTGGAAGGCCTCCGGCAGCTGCTCCACACAGCCTCCTCCCTTCCTCCCCCTCTCCCAGGCTGGGAAGGGAACACTCGCCCCTCCCACCCTCCTTCCTTCTGAAGTCCCAGCCTCTCACACCGCGTCTAAGTCCACAAAATTGTGACTGTCCCTCTGATGTACTTTTTTCTTGACTTAAAGGGTGTGTTGTTAATTCTTTTTACACTCATTTTTTTACCATTCTCATTTTTCTGGAAGCCACAAATGGTGTCGGGGTTCCGTTTGGGCTTAGAACTTTCCCAGCACGGCCCTGAGAGATGAGGCTATTCTCTTGGAAACCCAGCAGCTTCCAGCTGGAAGTGGGTGTCCCTGCCTGGCTGCTGCCTCCACTCCCAGGAAGAAAGACCACCTCTCACAGAATGCTTTGCAGCCTTGATCCTTCCGGATCCTTGAACAAGCCTGTGAGATAAGGCTCTGTTCTCGTCAGCCACAGACCCAGAGGGAAAGGGGCATGAAGCAGGAGGGGGGCCAGGCCAGAGGTTCTCGTGGAGGCTAAGCCAGGCTGAGGCTGGTGAAGGTCGCCTCCGCCAAACCCCCTTCCTTGTGATTGGCTGGGGCCCTCTTCACGGGGCGGCCCACCGCGCATCCTCTGTGGATTTGGGATGAAAATCATGGACCACACCTTCTTCCTCTTCAGCAGAGGCTGCAAACTGGTTACATTCAAAATATTGGGACCGATTCAGGTATTTTTTAAGGAGGAGGCAACCAGTCCCTCCATGGAGCTATTAGCAACATGGGTAATAGCTCCTCCTCAAACTCGACTGTCTTAGAATGAATTGTCTTCCTCTAACTCACAATAGGAAGTAATATGGGCCGGTGTCATTTGGCTTGCTGGTTAAAGGAAGGAAACGGGCCCTGGGATGTGTAAAAGTGGCTGGGAATGAAGCTGGTTAATTGTACTGAAAGGGTTCGGTACCGGTTGCTGCTAGCAGAGGGGCTGATAGCCCCTTCCAGTGCACTCCCTTGGGAGAGGCCTGATTGCTGCTCTGTTACAGGCGACGGGGACGATGGCAGGAGCCTGGGACCCAACCCACTGCCACAGGAGCGCTTTGTAACATGCAGGGCTTGTTTCCCCTTGGCCCCTTATAGTCCCGGATTGCAATAAATGTGACTCTTTAATTCAAAAAAAAAAAAAGAAACAAAATATTGGGACCTGCATAGTGTTCTAAATGGTTTAATGGACAGCTATGTTTCCTAGAACCGTCATAACAGAGTCTGACTTGAAATAACAGATTGTCTCACTCTTCTGAGGCCAGAAATCTGAGTCCGTGTCAGCAGGGCAGGTCCCTCCCCAGCACCAGGGGAGGATGTGTTTCAGCCTCTCTTCCGGCTTCTGGCTGCGTCAGGTGTTCCTTGGCTGGTAGATGCACCCGTCTAATCCCGCGTTCATCTTCACATGGCCTGTCCTCCGTGTGCGTCTTTGTCCAAACTTCCTCTTTTTACAAGGACACAGTCATATGGATTGGGGCCCACCTTAGCCTCATTTTAATTTGGTTACCTCTGTAAACACCCTATTTCCAAATAAGGTCACATGTGAGGTGCTGGGGTTAGGACTTCAATGTATCTTTTTTTAAAAATTAGTTTATTTATTTTTTGGTTAATCCTCCCCTGAGGATATTGTTCCATTGATTTTTTAGAGAGTGGAAGGGTGAGAAACATACATGGAAGTGAGAGAAACACATCGATGGTGCCTCCCATACACAGCCAGGCAGGGTTGAGCCAGCAACCAAGGTACATGTCCTTGACTGGATGCGACCCTTCAGTCCACAAGTTGATGTTCTACCCGCTGAGCCACACGGGCAAGGGCTCAATGCACCTTTTTGGAGGGATACAATAATGCCTGCAGTTGCCATCCCCTTTAGGAGTGCCACCTTCCTCACCAATCCCTGTCTGCTCCTTGAACCTTGAGGCCCAGGGACACCACATGGACCGCTCTACACTTCCGGGGAGAGACGAGGGTGGGGGCGAGCGGATTAGCGGGCCCTGCTCACACGCCTCGGTTTAGAAATCAAGGCTGTGTTGGGCTCAAGAAGTGGACGTGTCTTCACTTTCCCTTATCCCTCCGGCAGCCTGCAGCCTGCAGCCTGCAGCTGGTGCTGATGGAGCACATGAGAGACACCTGGTCGGAATCCACACGTTAGTTAGAGCTGGCCCGGCCCAGGAGCACCCGCGTGAGGTGCACATGAGAGCAGAAGTCGGGGCGCCGTCTCTCCTGCTTGCTCAGGGCCCAGTGCTCCCTTCTTCCTTCCCTCGGCGCCAGGCACGCGCGCTCCCTTCCACCAGCGGGCGCTCTCCGGAGTCTCGATGCCGCAGAGCACGCAGGGGTCCGGGTGAACGGTCTCCGGTGCTCTCACTCCGATGCTCCCGGGGTGGGAGCGCGTGAGCCGCAGGAGAAGGGAGGCCAGGCCCAAACCCTGCCCCCGACAGCACGTGACAAGCCTCATCCGAGAGCAGGTTTTCTACGGAAAAGCTCGGAAATTGTAGAAAGATTCCCCCTCCTCCCCCACCCCAAATATTACCTCTCCGGAATCTCTACTTTTCTAAGGGCCCCTGCAGGCTTTCGGTTTTTTTCTCCTAAAATCTTGAGGGTGAGGCTGAGAATGAATTCACAAAACTACAAGTGAATTAGAGTTTATTATGTAGGAAGTGGAGAAAGTGCGGCAGAAATTGAAGTATGCAATACCCAAACCGAACCGAACCAGATTCCAGAAACAAGTATCCATTGGCTGCTTCCTCCCCCACGGGACCGGCGCTGGCCGGGGGTGAGGAGGGAAGGGGTTCCGTGGCAGGGCCCCTGGCTGCTCCGGGGCTGGGGCTCATCTCCGCGGGGCTTTCCGGGCTCAGGGTCTAGACTTCAGCGCGGACGCCGCCAGTCCCGCCAGGATGGCTGCAACCGTGAAGCCCTGGGCGGCGATCCGGGTGCGCATCATGAGCTGGGAGCGCTGGCTCTGACCCCGGTGGAAGCAGTAGAGGCCGTAGGTCAGGGCGGCCGCCGTGCCCAGGCAGCCTGAGGAGGGTATAAAGCAGGTGGGGTTGGCAGCCCGGCCCCAGAGGCCCCTCTCCGCTTTGGACCTCTGTGTCCCGAGTTGAAGTCTCAGTACCAGAGCGGGGCGGAGGGGCGCGGGGGAGAGGCTGGAGGGGTTGGTCCCGGCAGGGTCCCGGAGTTACAGAGCCCGCCCCCTCGACCCGCTCCTGCACCAATCAGGTTCACCACCGCCCGACCTCTTCACCACATCTCCGGCCCCTTCTCGTTCCGGTGTCCCCCTGGCGTCCCCGGTCCTTCACTATTTCATTTCCCCCGAGAGCTCTGTCTTCTCCATCTACAGTTCCTTCTGTACCCGCTTACCTATGGGTACCATTGGGTTCTCGCGAGTCTTGCGAAGGAACTTTTCCTTGAAGCTTTCCGGATTGCTATAGACACTGGGGCTAAAACCCTCAATAACTGGGGGCTGCGATGGTTCAAAGGGTGCCTCCGGAGTCATGGGGCCAGGAGTCGCCATGTCTGGGGTAACGGCAGCTGGAAAAAATGGGGACACTATACCCCGCCTCCCGATGAAGTCATGAAAGGGGGCGGAGGAAAGGACTTTACTGAGCGTTGTACGCAGGCGTATCCGCTCATTGCATTCTGGGAGCCGTAGTAACCAGCATGGTATCGCTCTCGGGGAGGACTACATTTCCCAGAAAGCCTGCGAAGCCCTGCGCGTGCCCGCTGGTAGGAGCCCGCTACTCGAGGTGCTGGAAGTGAAGGCGCGGAGTCTGAGTTGGGTGCGGTCGTCAGCGGGATGCTCAAAGGCGAAGGGGAAGACCCGGAGGCAGAAGTTCGGCTACAGTGTTAACCTGAGCGTCTTAACCGAAATGCTAGACGATGGCAGCGCCACGGATAGGGTAGTGAGGCAGCCGGGGTTCAGGAAACGGGGCCTGCCCTTGACTGAGACTTCCTGGAGCCCGGATTTATGGCAAGGCGGGGTATGTTACTACAGATGAAACCCCCATGGAATCAAAACGTCTTCGTACCTCCCCTCCCTCCCTCTCTTCTCCCCCTTCCTTTCTAACTCCCTCTCTGGGGAAGGAACTGCCTTACATTTATATTATTCTGGGGGCTCTGGGAAAAGCAAGAAAGTGCAGGTTTCAGAGTGGGTGGTTTGTTTGAATACATTGTATACATAATTAAAAAAAAGCTATTTTACTCCTCTGATGGTTTTGTATTTTCCCCTCCCAAGCAGGGGTGGGGGTGGGCACTGGGCATTTTCTTATTCTTGGTAGCTTGTCCTCAGCTAAACAAAAATCCTCTTATTCCTGTTTTATTTCTAGAAGTCACTGCTGTTGGAAAGAAGAGCTTAGTGTTTTTACATAGATCCTTTCACATAAAACCCACAGAGGTCTGTAGTTTTCTCTTCCTCTTACAGATAAGAACAGGCTTGAGAGGTATTAATGGGGGGTTTGTAGTCAAGTCTTTCCAACAAGTAAGCCTAAGCTTTCACATAATGTCCCTCCCCTTGGCTCCTGAAGGCAGCCCATCCATTCCACACCATCAGGACACTAGGCTGGAGCGAGGCCGTCCCAGAAAGCCCTCCCCTATTGGACTCTGCCTGCGTAGACTTCAGCACAGCCTCCAGGATGTGTCTGCAGCCCAGCTCCCGAGGGCCGTTGTTTTTGGCCTTGTAACTTTGATCCTTCATCCCATCCCAAATTCAGGCCTTTGACTAGGCTGTCCCCTTACCTTGTTTCTTTACCCAGTTCAGGTGCCAATTTTAGGAAGCTTTCCTTACCACTATTTCCTGCTCCCAGGCTGTGGAATGTCCTGTAGTCCCAGTGCCCCAGATTTCCTGTTAACAATCCGATTACAGCCATAACTGCCTTTTGATCTGCTTGACATCCCCTACAGACTGCATGAGTGCAGGGACTTTGCCCAGAAACCTGAGCCTGGCCCAAGCCAGGTGCTGGGGGAATACGTGTAGAATGACCGACTGCGTGGCCCTTTGGGCACACAGAGTTCTGAGATTTTTATTGGCACCTCTCTGCGGAGGATCTGAAGGCTATGTCTGACTGACTTCATTCCCTCACCAGTCCTTACAATTGGTTCCCCTGAATCAGCGCAAGCTGGTTTTGTCGGTTTGATTGCAACCAAAAGCAAAGACTCATTAGAGCAGCGGTTCTCAACCTGTGGGTCGTGACCCCTTTGGCGGTCGAACGACCCTTTCACAGGGGTCGCCTAAGACCATCCTGCATATCAGATATTTACATTACGATTCATAACAGTAGCAACATTACAGTTATGAAATAGCAACGAAAATAATTTTATGGTTGGGTCACGACATGAGGACCTGTATTTAAAGGGCCAGAAGGTTCAGAACCACTGCATTAGAGCAATCCCAAGCCTGTGGCTCCATAGAATGTAACAGTCATCATGGGCCAAAAGAGTCCTGCCATCAAACATGCTGGGGAGATGGTCGATTCTTTCATCATCACTTTTCCACTGATGCACATTAGCACATGGAAGTTTTTGAAAGTCTGGCTTTGAAGATCCCCTTTAACTGAGTTTTCTATGAGTGGTTGACCACAACCCTTTTCTGGAGAACACACAGGGTCCACAGAACATTGAGGCAATGCTGAACCAGGTGACTTCAGTGATGTTGTTAGTAATGGCTGAGTACCACATTAGTTCCTCCACGGGCCATTAGGTGCCAGGAGCTCCAGGTGGGGAACTCTTCATGGCAAGGCAATGACCAGAGAGTGTGAGGGTGGTGCAGGGGTGGAGGAGGTACAGGAGAAACATTTAGTTAGGGTGGCAAGGGAAGACCTCTCTGAGAGGGCGAGGCCTGCACTCAGTCCTGAATGACGAGAAACAATAAGCTATGAGCAGCAGGTCTGGGGGAAGAGCATTCCTGGAAGAGGTGACAAGTGCAGAGGCCCTAAGACAGGACAAAACCAGGCTTCCTCCTTTGCCAAGGTTATTTCTGGGGCCCCAAGTCAGAGGGCACAGGACTGGGTACCTCTGGGTAAAGTACCCCAGAGTAGGCTGGGCAAAGCAGGCTTGCTCAGTGGCAGCAGAGCATCACTAGTTCAGGGGAAAGGCAGGCAGCCCTGAGACCGGTTCTGCCTCCACCTGCAGAGCATCTAGGAGGAAACCCCAGGCACAGAGTGGGAGAAAGTGGCCCAGCTGTGTGACTTCAACCCCAAGAGCAGCAAACAGTGCAAAGACGTGTCCCGCCTGCGTTCTGTGCTCATGTCCCTGAAGCAGACACCGCTGTCCCGCTAGGTGCCGGCCACAGGCATGGCCACGGAGCACGGGCAGGGGCAGGAGAGGAGGAGCAGCTGCTTTGGGCAGGAGAGTGGGAAGCAGTTAGTTACCTACAAGTAAGTACCTGTAAGACTGTCAGCTGATTTCTCAGCAGCAACTTTGCAGGCCAAAATGGAGTGGCAAGTGTTCTGGAGTGACATTTGGGAGAATAAGACCACCGACTCCAATTAGGTCTTAAACAGCAAGCGAGGATTTATTGAGCTGGCCAGCGACTACAGTTACAGCACCCTGCCAAAGCAGAGGCTGAACTGCCGTGCCGACAACAGGAGTTACATTTTTAAAAAAATACATTTTATTGATTTTTTTACAGAGAGGAAGTGAAAAGGATAGAGAATTAGAAACATTGATGAGAGAGAAACATCGATCAGCTGCCTCCTGCACACCCCCTGCACACCTCATGCCCGCAACTGTTCCAAATGTTCTAGCAAGCACTGTAGAGGGGTTACATTTTATTTTATTTTATTTTATTTTATTTTATTTTATTTTTTTGCAAGGCAAACATCTTCTATGTAGAAGGGTGCGCACACATGGTCTGGAAGCCTGTGTACACTGAGCAGGCAGTCTGCTTGGCTTTATAATCCCTGACACATATGACCTGTTCCTCACTCTTGATTGGAGCTCAAGCACACAGTTGCCGGGGTCCAACCCCAGCAGGTCCAGGGGTTCCCAAAGGTGTAGACAGAGTCGGCGAAGAAGGAATGACACGGAGACAGCGTTCAGTTGATCAGCAGCCTAGCCAGGATCTCCAGCCAGGATCTCCAGCCAAGTTCTGGTCTGGATCTCCAGGGAAGTTCTGCTCAAGGGGTTACATTTTATTGCTAAATTTTGTGGAGGCCCAGAGAAAAATGTGTCTTTCAAATTCTGGGCCCCCCCAATATGGAGGAAACTCTATTTATACTTTTTCCAGTCCTTTGTCTCCCAAATTTGGAATGAGACTTCCAGGCCTTCTGAGAAAGAAGGCCTGTGTGCTGGGAAGGGGCCATGAGACTATATCTCAAGGCTGGGCCTGATGTCAGTACCTTCCTATCTATGTGTTTTAGGAACAGACAGCACAGCATGACCCATCTGGCCAAAGCGCCAGATATGCAGCCCACCACAGCAAGAAGTATTCAAAGTGGCTTTTTGCTGCTGTGGCAACAGCCATGAGTATGATCAGGCTTCAAAAGAGGCTTGCCTCCAGTGTCTTCTGCTGTGGCTAAAAGAAGGTCTGGTTGGACCCCAAGGAGACCAATGAAATTGCCAATGCCAACTCCTGTCAGTAGATTCAGAAGCTGATCAGAGGTAGGCTCATCCTCTGGAAGCCTGTGACTGTCCATTCCCGATGGATAGAAAAACACCTTGGCCTGCAGGAAGAGCAGGCATATGGGCGTAAGTAAGCAAAGGGGTACTGCCAATGTTCAAATGGCTGAGGAAGTAACCTGGTTGAGGAGGATGAGAATTCCTTGCCGGCTACTCAGAAGATACCGTGAACCTAAGAAGATTGACTGTCACATGTACCACAGCCTGTACCTGAAAGTGAAGGGTAACATTCAAAAACAAGCTGAAGGCAGACAAGGCTTGCAAGTGGCTTCTGGCTGACCAGGCTGAGGCCCAGAGGTCTAAAACCAAGGAAGCTTGCAAGCACCGTGAAGAGCAGCTCCAGGCCAAGAAGGAGAAATCATCAAGCCTGTCCAAGGAGCCCTAGCCAGTTTGACTCAGTGGATAGAGCGTTCAATTCAGGTCAAGGGCATGTACCTTGGTGGTCTATCTCTCCTTCTCCCTTCTACTCTCTCTCAAAATTAATGGAAGCCCTAACCGGTTTGGCTCAGTGGATAGAGCACTGGCCTGTGGACTGAAAGGTCCCAGGTTCGATTCTGGTCAAGGGCATGTATCTTGGTTTCGGGCACATCCCCAGTGGGGGGTGTGCAGGAGGCAGCTGATTGATGTTTCTCTCTCATCGGTGTTTCTAACTCTCTATCCCTCTCCCTTCCTCTCTGTAAAGATTAATAAAATATATTTTTAAAAATTAATGGAAAAATATCCCCGGGTGAGGATTAAAAAAAAAAAAATTCAGAGCAGTCAGGAGCCAGCATTAGTGTGACTCCCTTGTCTTAAAGGGGATGATCCCTGAGGGCATGACTGCTTTAAAAAATAATGTCCAAGGAGAAAGAGACTAAGAAATAAAGGCCACCTGTACATAGTGGCCTTGGCAATTACATGGCTCAATCATTTAATAAAAGT